GATTTCTAAGAAGACTCTCTGTCAGATTCACAAACGTGTTCTTAAACGACAACATTTTCTCAGCTGTGTTCTTACTCCTTGTGTTCATAAGTTGAAAGCGAGTGCCTTGTTCCTAATTAGCATATGCAACCGCCCATAGTGCCCATAAAAGGGCATGAGTGCAGGCCTGCAGACACAGGGGCCGTTTCGGAATAGCCACAGTTCAGTAGGCAGTACGTACTTTTCAGTATGGAGTTCAGTATACTGAACTTGGTGGTCATTCAGTATGCATTTTTTGGGTCCGCGCAGTGTACTTAACATTTCAGTATGGATACTAACTTCCGGTTTTATGCAGTATGGATCGGATGCATCCTTTCAGGAAATGAATTGTATTTTACCACCCACAATGCTGTGCAAAATTCAACGTAAATCGTCACTTCACGTGCGCCTCCAAATCAAAACAAACGAGCATTGATTCATTTAATCTTAATTTAAAGTCCCAACTGAAATCGCTACTTTTAGTTAACAACAAAAAAATGTAACAAATGATTTAAATGCGTCTTTATCGGTTTGTTTTACTTTATATTCTGTATATTACTGTCTTTCATTCGTATTCCCTTATGTACTGTATGTATTTTACTTATTGTCTGATATTGTTTTTTGTTTACCTGACTGTATATGCGCATTACTCTTCTTGAATAAAGCTAAAGAAAAAAAAAACGGGTGAATGCGGCCGGTTCGGGTAACGTAAATGATGTCACTTCCTTACTGAATGAATCAGGCGAAGTAGGAACAAATATCTGCCTACTGTGCGCACCTACTGAATAGTAGGTACTTAACAGTATACAGCACGGATAGTACATACTGCATACTGCTTACTGACAGATTGAGTAGGCACTTGGCAATTCGGATGCACCCACACTTAGTCACATTCTGGTAGCAAAACATATATTACGGAATTCATTATCAAATATTATAATGTAAACCCTATAATATTATACAACTGTAGATTTAAACTTAATGCAATACACTGTTTATTCTGTTCTCACAAAAGAACAAATCCCACATAAGAACACATTGGTGAATCCCAGAATCTTCTTGAAGAAGGATTTACAGTTAGAACAAATATGTGTTTCAGACCAGTTGGTCAATGAGGCCCAATGTAAACAGCGCCCTCAGAAATTCTGTATCATTCAGGCTGTTTTTGTATAAGAATGAATTCTACAAATGAAAGTTATTGTACAAAAAGAAAAAAGCATGAGCACGTACATAGAAGGCAGTTTCATTGAGTTCAGTTCGTAGAATCATGAGGTCAAACGTTGTGGCTGCTCCTCCGAGCCAGGATATGGATAGTTGCTGTTTGTAAAGGTTTGGTGACAGGCTGACCTGCTGCGGTACAGGAAGGGCTGAAATGAAGATTGGACAAGATTTATTGACTTAAATTGAAAATGAAACAAAGAGCATACAAATCACAGTGTTGAGTTAGGGCTGGGTAATATAATGAATTGTTAAGATGTATCAATATAATTTCAAACAAGATATAGGGTAAGACAATTTCGTTAATATCGATATAGTTTATGGTGCATTAAAATAACGTTATAGAGCAGCCAGGTCACCTTTTTCTCATCTCATTGATGATGATGACTGACTGTCCCCCTTAACCCTGCTCCTTCTCTCTCTCTCTCTTATTTTATTTAAGGAACATTTTTATTTTATGATATCATTTTTTTATTTCTTAAACAGGTAGTTTATTTTTTCATGTGTTTTCACTGTTAATAAAAGACATATCGATATATATCGAATATCACCATTCAGCTAAACAATATCCAGATATGAGTTTTGGTCCATATTGGTCCAGCCCTACGTTGAGTGTTAATGTAGATGAGTTCTTCTTACCATCTTTTGCATGAGTGTGTATAACTAAGAGGCCGAGCAGAACACAGAGAAGCCGAACAGGGTTAGATTTAAGCTTGAAGCTGTGACTGACACCTAGACGAGGCATGATGATCCACTAGCAGAGTCCCTCTGTTTGCAGATCCTTATGTGGTATGGCCCTCTACTGCAGTAACACTATGCTGGACATCCTGTGAGGCAAGACACAGACAGAGGGTGTCCTGAGGGGAAAAGAAAGCAGAACAGAGACACAATGGTTAATCAGGAATAATTACAATATGAATACTGCTAATTTAAGGCTCCGGAAAAATGAAAATAACACCTTAGCAACAAATAGATTTGTATCTAATTCTCCGTAATAAAGGATCTCTCAACGTTCTTTGAACCTCACAGCCTTTAAGCTGTAGTTGCAGTTTAATACAATGAAGGTGTTGTTGTGAAACGGTGAAGTTGAAGTGATGCCAACAAGGTCCCTGGCCCAGAAATATTCTAGCATGCACATAATTTTTTATAAAATGTCTCTGGAGATTTGGCTAGTTTACTCTTGTTGCAGTAAGGTTTTATGGATGAGCAGCAATCCATTGCACCATTTTCAAATCTTGCAATGATTCCCTGCCAACTCAGCTGTGTTTGTGGAATAATTGCACGCCAAATCCAAACATACAGAACCACTGCCGGGTATAGCAATATTTGACATCGACACGAGAAAACAAGTCTTTCAGAGAGCTGTTTTCAGCTAAATGTTGAAACACAAAAGTTAGAAAAGTCATTATTTATCAGAGTCTTCCTTGTTGCTTATCCAGTCCACCTGCCTTCAACTTAACTTGTGTAGTTTTTGAATTCTCAAGGCCTAGTTTTGCTGTTGATTTAACTACCTTTTACTAGTACTGTGAAAATCCAGACGGATATCAGGCAGACAGAGACAATTAAGCTGGAGACAAATACAGCTGTGGGTCTATCTTATGTAAGAGGCTTGGAACTGCCCTTGATTTCGTTAGGTGCATTACAAAGAACCCGTTTTACCAGAGGAGTGTACTACGAAAGGGGATTAATGGGTTAGGCAGGCAGTTGGCGTCTACAGCCAGAGTTTTCAACGTGGTGAAGGTGGCTCTCTTTTTTAATCTGGCCTGATTCAAGCAGGAACCAGCAGGTTTGCTAAACACGAAACCAGCCCCAGTGATGGTTATATATTCACAGTCTCTGGTTTAAATCAGCTGCTATTTTTATTTTATTTTATAATTCCCTGAGGGCAAATATGGTTTACAGTCTGTTATTGAGAGACATGCTTCTCACACACATAGGCCCGAAATAAACACACATGCACAAGCGGGACCTGTGGACATGCATTAGTGGAGAGATGTCAGAGGGGGCTGCTACACACTGCTATGCAGGGAGTGCAGCAGAGCTGTTGGGGATTCAGTGCCTTGCTCAAGGGCCCTCGGCAGAAGTGACCCGACACCTCTCCAGCTACCAGACCAACTTTCAGATTTTGGTCGGCATACAGACTTGAACTGGCGAACCTCCCGTTCTTGTATATACTGTATCAATTTCTACTTTCATCTAAAAGGTTGAACAGCCATAACATGCTCAACGGCTGTGACAGGAAGTCCACAACAACCTCGTGGACTTTTTACATGTTGTTCCTGACCATGTTTACTGTACCAATGTGATGGAACAAACATGTAAAGGGTCACAAAGTTGTTCCCTGAAGATTTGAAAGTATGCAGGTTAAATGTAACCGTGAACAAAAATAACAAGAGATGATAAACAGATTTTATTTCTGTTCTGATAATTGATTAATTAACAAAGTCTTCTTTTTTTTTTTAGACAAAATGAAAGACATACCAGAGGCAACAGCATCTTCAGTGACAAAGAGCTGAACAGTTTTAATCAACAGTCAGTCTGATAAAATCAGTAGATCAAAGACTCATGCTCATGCTTCAGGAGATTGAGACATTCATTTCTCACTACTTTCTGATGTTTGAAAGACCATAGGTCATAGGATAAAAAGCTAATTGAAGAATCCAAAAAAACAACAACATGCAATTGAGTATTATAAGAATGGATTAAAAAAAACAAATATTGATCACAGTTCACTAATGTAGTGGTGATACAAAAGCAGTAGATAAAGATACAACGTGTTTCAGATCGGCATCCTGAAAAGTCATCAGCTTAACTACAAAAACATCCAGATAGGGAACGCAAGGTCAAGGCTCCATCCGTGCTTAATGGGATTGTCGTTCTCTCTAAACAAAGAGAGACACATCTCAAAATTCCTGAATAAAGCACAAAAGGAGGTTTTGCAATCATTTAGTTAAGAGCTTTGGCCTCGATGAGCTTGTGTGTGCAAGTTCTTGTCTGTAACTAGAAGTTGTTTTTGTGCTTAAAGTGTCAACAGCACAGTGCAGAGAAGTTCATCTGGTTTCACTTGCATGCTGGGACAGGCCTTAGACGGATTGCTAGCTTGATAAAACAATGCTCTCAAATACAGACAAGCCTTTCATTGAAACAGTATTACCCAAACACATAATACACAAACAGACTACAAAAAGCCATTTCTAGAATCTAAACTGTCTGATACTGACCTGAAGCAGACAGTCAGACAGTTTGACCCCGATATACTCTAATCAGGTCAGTGTATTTGGTATGAAATATAAAGGAAAACAGTATTTAATCTACATCTGGCAGAATGTGCAAATACTGTAGAATTTTACAAAAGAGTTTAGAGGAAGATTAGAAATACAGATATAGATGGATAATCTATCTTTTTATCCATTCATTTTAAAAGGCGCTCAAACATGACAATACAAGACATGAATACAACACAACCATGCTCCTAAATCCTGGCTGTCATTTTGCAATCCCTTACCGGATGATATACAGTTGTTGAGAGCAAAACACTCTGTTCGAGGTGCCAATAATGGAACATGAGGCTACACAAACAAATGCAAACTGATTCTAGAGAAGTGAGGGCCTAAATACTGGGAAAGGAGGACAGGAACACCCCCCCCCCCCTACTTATTTAACTGCCCACTCAACATTTCATTCCAAACCTTTTAGTTTCCCTTTTATCTTCACTCTGGTGAAAGACCAGATGCAAATAGTGGAAAACTATCCAATGATTAAAAAAAAAAAAAGAAAAGAACGGAAATGATACAAATAATTATAGGTCAAATGAAAAGTTTTGGAAGAACTTTTAGCACCAGCAAACAAAAAGATTCAGGGAACATTTGTATGCTGAGTAGAGAGTTGTCCTTGAGATGATTCTGCAGCAGCAGTACAAGTATGACAGGAATGTCAAATTGTGAAAGTGATTTTGCAGCTGGCTCCTGAAGTGGATTGGTTTACAGATTTATAATGGAGCTTTTACCAAGGCATGGATGAACATAAAGTAGTCTATTGTACCCACAATCATATCATTAGCTGGGCATTTGTATGGTAGAATACTGCATTTGTATTCATTCTGCTGCTTAATTAAAGCAGATTAAACAACATAACAAAACACAACACGGTCAAAACTTTACATTTGACGTTTCTAGTTTTACTGTGTGAAAAGGAAACTGGGGCTTTTTGTCAAGACAAATGTGTGCGGCCAATACTTTCCATAGTTTTTTAAAGACATCGAGTGTGTTCCTGGCCGTAAATATATCACCTCCAGATGAAATTCAGAGGCATTGCTCAACATAAATACAGCTGTTTGGAGTCTGTGTTTCACACACTGTGCCTGCACCAAAGGCTTCCTGGGCCTGTTACAAGCCTCTCCCCACATGAAAAGAGCTGTTATATGTTTTACTGGTCCAGGATTCTAAAGATTATTTTTCCAACTTTTGCACAAGGCTGAAACATTTTACAACCTCAAAATATATCCTCACAGCCAACTGAACCCTGGCAAAAAAAAAAAAAAAGTGCATTGATGGGAAGCGGGGGGGAAAAGCTGCAGATTCTGGGAAATGTAACCACGAAACTGATAGCCACAAATGCACACCAACACACAAATCAATACCTCTCTACTGGGCTCTGTTCCTTGTCCTTGCAGCAGTAATAAATATGACCACAAAATCAAAAACCCACAAAGATATTGTGACTTCAAAACCTAGTCCAAACCTATGTATGTTTACAGTTTTCATATTAAAGGAAGCTCACCTTAAGCCCTAAAATATAATATCCTGAATAAATTCTGTTAGCTTTCTTTCCCCATGCTGGACTTTGCCGCTGTTCTGTTTGACTATGCAGCTGAGTAAAGATTATAGGAAACTCCAGGTACTCACACACAAAATAAACTGTGCAGGACTAACCACCTTATAACGCAACCCTATTCCCAGAATTCAAATGTACTCAAGGGCCTCATTTGTTCCCTTGCCATTTCCAAGATATCCAAACATGAAATGGTACTCAAATAGCAATAGGAGCAAAAGTAAGTCACTATGTAACATTCCACTGTTTGTTGACTATCAATTCAGGGGTTGTGCAAGTTATAAAATATACGCAGTAACTGGAATATGCAAATTCATGTGTGTTAGCTTGGGCACTGCACACAAAAAAAGTTGGTCACCAAAGTAAAGCTGCTTCTCTAAAGAACGAGTGAGGTATGTTGTGTTTTAGATGATCTTGCCCTTGATTAATGGTTAGATAAATACAATTGATTTTTTGCTAAACCATGTTGCAACAGTATTGATGGTAAACATACTTATAAAGAGTACAGTTGCCAACTAAAAGTTTCGAACCAGATTTATTTTTTCATAGTTTTTTTCTGACGAGTTGTAGCCAGCAAATGTTTAGTTTGAATTTCCTTTTTTGTTGATTTACTGTCAAAAACAAATCTTCTCTTCAATGATCTAACGTTCTCAACACTAGTTTCAGTCTGAAAGATATCCTGAAGTATAAAGTGAGCTTCAACCAAAACCAGGACAAAAGTAAAAATGGAATGGAGCCAAAGCCAAAATAACTTCAAACTGCATGACACACAGCCAACAATCTTACTTACTGCACCTTACTATCGCAACCACATTTTTAAACAAAGATCAGATCCTCCAATGGTGTTTTCTTTTCTAAAAGTGTGTGGGATGGAAGCTGAAGCCAAGCCAGGAAAAACTTGTCTGTTCTCAGCCTCCACTCTGCAACACTGTCATTACGCTGTCATACGATGACCACCACGACCAACGAAATAAGCACACAGTGCCTCTGGTATCCAGTATGAGAACGGTGACATTTTGAAACATGAGCTAAGTTTGCTGCTAATTATGTTTGACCTTTGAATGGGACCAGAGGAAGACCGGATGCAAGCCAGAGAAAAAGTGAAAAACAGAGCAAGTGTGTTAAATGTTGCTGCTCTGACCTCAGCAGAGAAGGGACATTCAGTTCTCTGTGTGTGTGTGTGTGTGTGTGTGTGTGTGTGTGTGTGTGTGTGTGTGTGTGTGTGTGTGTGTGTGTGTGTGTGTGTGTGTGTGTGTGTGTGTGTGTGTGTGTAGCTTTTGGACTTCAACCAAACATGGTTTCCTTCCTGCCTCTTTCAAATGTAAATGTTAGAAGCAACAGGATGAGAGTCAAACCATCACTTAAAGAATAACTATTTGCTCCAAGATGTTAGCGTCCAAGAACTGGATGAAAACATCCAGTAAAACAGCCGAATGATTGGTAATATTCCCTATATTACATATATATATTATATCCCTATATTATATTACATATGTCTCACATTGAGTGATACTGGGATGACAACTTGTAGAATGGACAGAAACCCGTTTAAATGCAATTTATCCTCTTATAGGGCTAGAGCAGAGTAATTTTCTGAGAACACTTGATACAGCACAGCACTGTGTGTGTGTGTGTGTGTGGGGGGGGGGGGGGGTATATAAAGGTTAACAGTTATCTGATAAAAATCTATGCAAATGACTTATTTCTAATTTCCCCTGTACAGGTGGAAAAAACGTCACTGCATCAACGCTGAATAGGGGTGGGACAAAATACTGATTTGACAATATATCGTGATCCTGACTTGTGTAATCAAATTATTGATACGCTGGTCAAAGACATTGATATTTTAATTTAAAAGATATGGTACTCTAAACGCTCATATCTTCTTGTAAAGAAAAGTTTTTTTTACACTTAAGTTCTTTAATTTAATTTACAGATTCACAACAAAAACATTGTATCATCTCAGTTTTAGGGGCACTTAGTACACTTTTGTTGATCAGATTTTATAATGTATCATTATGCAATTGTCCTGCAATATATCAATAAACGCAGAACCATGCAGCTTGTATCTTATCATGAGCTACCCTGAGATAGCTGATCAATCTAAACCTTCTGCTGCTGATGCACTTTATACATTTTTTTTTTTTTTACAAGTTTATAAAAGTGGACAACAACATACAACATAAATTGGTGATGGCATCAGTAAAACCAACCCCAAAGGTTGAGTTAACCAGGCTCCCTTCAATGCTTCAATCCGAGAGCAAAACAACCCTAATGATGAAATACACTTTACGTTGTCCCAGCTCAAAGTTTAAAGAATAATGTGGTTCTGCTCACTTAAAGTCCAATAATATGTTCATCAATATTGCAAAATAAATCGACATTTTACTCGGAATGTGTTCCTCCTGATAAAAAAGGTTACTAAAAGTAGATAACCAAAAAAAAGTGCATCATCTCAGGACGATGTGTGTAATTAGCATTAGCAACTGGGAGAGCAATAAGAGTACCGTTACAGGTCTTATGGTCAATAAGGCGGCGAATATACATTAAACATGTAGCTGTCGTAATGAGGGACATTTAACCATGAGAGACAATGTACTTTTAAAGGAACAATTAGTTTAAATGTCGTTTTAATACACTCAGAAGCTAGCACCCATCATCATCATCACGCACGCAGTCAGGCCACCAATGTTTGGAAAAAACACTGCTAGCTACAAATAGCTGCCAACTACGAATTTACGTAAAACGTGGCTATAAAATCACGTATAACATGTAAAAATCAAATGTGTTACCTCCTATGTAGCGAGATATCCTTTTCCGTACGGTTCAGGCTGTTATTATATCCAATAAATCAGCTTTCTAAGTAACCTGTCCCGTGCTCGCAAGTGGACCATTCCCAATGAATCCAGAACAGGGTGGGATTACTGGAATAGTGAAACTCGAGGTTTGATTGACGGCCGGACTGACCAATGGCCACCGTCTAAATTGTCTTTCCCACAGGAGAGAGGGCGTTGTCCTGCTGTGATGAAGGTGAAGTGTCTGATGTAACTAGGACAGAGATAATATAAGTTTACAACGGGTGCGTCTTGTGATAGTATCTGAAGGAGATTTAGGAGTCCCCTCAGGTGGAATGTTTAAATTGAGGTATTGTATAGGAGTAGTGCCACATGTGGTTGTGTAACGTGATGTTTTATGACCCATGACGAAAAGCGGATGTTTGGATGCATATAAGCAATTGTCTCTGTGTGTTCGAGAGAGATCATTATTGGCTTCTTGATCCTCCTGGTCAGACGTGACCAGTGATTCTGTTTCTTGCTTAAATAAAATTATACTCTTTGAAAGCAAGTCAGTCTCAACGGCGAATTCCTTCATCATCAAACATATCAACAACAAGGAAATCCACATCAATTTTGGCGTCACGGAACAGGATCGGTTGGGGCCTTCTGCAGGGGACCACAGCTTGTTTATTATTTCCATCACTTCGTAAGTGTTTCTTTCTTTTTTTTCTGCACATATTGCGGAGCTGTTTCTGTCGTCTATCGGCAATTTTGGCCGCACTGTCAAAGAACTGAAGTGCAATGATGTGTTGATGTTGGAGTAATTCTCCGTCTAAATTGGGGTTTATTGAGTTAAAAAGTATATAGATAAAGGGGAATAAAATAAAGAAGAGATAAATAAGAGAAGAAGAGATAAAAAGTTGAAAGGTAATGATAGCATAAGCGCAACTAGTAACGAGACCAGTTAGCTAAAAAACTATGCAAGTTTAACAAGGACAGGGCCCGTATCCTCTTAACAGTAAGTCATGTGTAAATTAGACACTGAAGTGAAAGTTGGCTTTAAGAAGTAGTCAAATTTGAGTAAAAATAAAACAAAGGGGATCCCTGGCCAGGGTATTTGAATAGATGATAAACGTATAATGTAGGAAAATAAAAGAGAAGAAATAAAGATGAGAAGTGTAAAGATGAGAAGTAAAAAGATGAAAAGTGAAGATAAGGAATAAAGATAAGAGTTTTGAGAAAAGTGGGAAAAAAGCGCTGAGTAAAGGAAAAAGTGTGCATTGAAGCATGCAGTGTGAAGTAATTTGTTAAAAGACAATTTGTTAAAAGTTTGACAGAAGTAAAATATTTGATAGAGGAAAATTATAAATGAGTCGACTTCAAAATCTGAACTGAAGTGTGTGTGGCTGTTGAAGGGCTCTGTCTATGTCTGTGTCTTGTCTCTTGTGTTGTGATTTGGATGGTTTTGAGAGGTCTGTGTGGTGTGAAGATGTGTATTTGATCCGGAAATGTTCTTGTATATGTGTGATTGATAAATAGAATAGATGTATTAATAAATAGGCATATGTAGCAGGTGATTGGTTAAAAGGCGATTTAGTAACTTATAAGAGGGGACATTTTTGCTTCATCAGTGATAAAAAACATGAGCCTTTGTTTCAGAGGACTTTTACTTATCTGATCTTCATCAGTGTTAAAAACCTATGAGCCCTTTGTTTCAGGGGACTTTATATATTCAATTGGATAAAATATGAGCCCCTCAGAGGATGTTTGTTTAATCTGATAAATACACATGAGCCTAATAAAGGACGTTTATACATAGCATAAGTGTATATAGTATCTGTTTTTAAGAAGTGGAGAGACCAGCGAGGATAGTCTGTACCCCATTCAGGTAGCAAGATTAGAGAAAAGAACAGAAAAATTCCTGATAAAGTTTAGAACTGCCGGCTGATTGGAGTGTGAACTTCTCTTTCTGTCTGTTTGTGCGTATGTGTGTGTTCACATTAAAATAGGTGGAGAGAATATATTTTCTAATTGGCTGTTGATTGGGAGGATATTGTGCTGATTTCTGTGTGTGCATAGACTCTGTGCACAGGGGTGGAGCAGTGATCTTAAAAGTGTGTGTGTTCTGTGCTAGTATATTACCACCCTCTAGGAAATCAACACATTCTGTTTCATTTAATGTCCAATAACTAAGTTTAGCTGAAACATCATATAACAAGACAAAGTTACAAAAGATAATTAGACACTAACTTTATGAACATCCATTGTGAGTAACGAGTTAGCTCTAGAAATCAGATTCAAAACGGTTCTTTGTGATGCCATTATTTTGCTTTTCTTATTGCCTTACGCCTTAGTCTCTTTATTTCCGGTCTTCACATAAAATGTGCTTTTATTTAGAAAAACTGCAAAGGGGACTTCTGCTACATCGTAAAGTTATGGGAGTAAATACATACAGCTAAAATAACAACCAAGAGGAGAAAATGTTACACTTACGCTGTTTTGTGAGGTGGATTTATCTTAAAAACCTCTGTTTGGGTGACTTACTCTCTTTCAGAAGGATGCTACATGCAGCATGTTTCCATGTATGAGCTCTGAGCTCTGACTCAGTGATGAGTGACAGGAGGATTAAATGCAAATGTAACCTTACTGTGCTTCAACTGTAATCAAATAGATATGATTGGCTTAGTTGTCACTTAATAAATCTTACTTGACCGATAAGTTTTCTTTTAATGACTCCACTAGTAAAAAGTGTACATTTTAGTGAAAGTAGGGGTGTCACAGCACCCACAACACCCACGGGTGAGATGCGCCTGTCTGTGCATTAAATGCACTAGGTTTGGACCATAGGGTTTGGAGACGATGTTAACCCTTTGACAGCCAGGTTAGACTGGAAGCCCTTGCTAAAATTAGGAGGCGGGTCCAAGAGGCGTTGCCTCACATAGAAAGCCAATTAGCTTACTCCTCCTGTTAAGGGGAGTGGAGAGGTAGCCCCCTCTCCTCCTCTCTCTTCTCTCTGTGGGACACAGAGGGAAGGAAAACACACCCCCAGTAGGGAGACAGCCTTTGCAATAGATAAAAAAAAAATAGATAAAGATTACAGATAATGTGTGCATATTTTACTGAATTGTTATTGCATTGTCTATATGGATTCAGAGTGATTAAACTTTTGTTTTGTTTTCTTTCTGTTTTCTCTGTTTCTCTCTACTATGCTGTGTGAGAGCTAAAGGGAAGACAGACAGATGGATTGTGTCTGAACTGGATCAGTACAAAAGGCAGATGAGAGGATACCTGGGGGTACTTCACAAACACTGGAAGCTTGCGGATGACAGCATGTAGGGATCCTGAATCCAGCTTGATCAAGGCCAGTGCGGTTTTATCCACAAACTCTTTCAACAAACACCTGAACTTTTCTATCTGTGTATACACATTTTTTATAGTCAACATCTTTGATACATGCTTAGTCTGTTTTCGCATAGAGGCTTACATTGTTTCTTCTATGTATCACATTACAATTATATAGGAGGAAGTCTTGGCAACAGACTGACTAATTGAAGCATTTGGTCAATAATGGAGTATTTTTGATTTGATTGATCATTTATGGAAAAGTTGATTTGATTCAAATGCAGTTGAGTGCTGTGAATGCTGGTTTCATTGTCTGAGTATGGTCTAGCTTGACCTGGGCTATTTTGAGATGGAACATTGACATTATTTCCATAATTTTAAGATAAATAAGTGTGATTAGATGCACTAGGTGATAAAGAAGTGCTTTTGCTTTTATAGTAAGAAGGCTTTGGTCTCCTTTGGGGTTGGCAAATTCATTCACTTTAAAGTGTGGTAACAGTACTTTCTAAATAGTTTGACTTACAATACGAGGAACTAAGAGGGTCATTGTAATGTCAAAGATGGACACCAAAATTACAAAATCAATCACTCCTGTTGATGTAGTACAGAAGACTAATCCTCTTGTTAAAGATATTCCAAAAATATCAGAAAAATGGAGTAAGCGTTGGCCTGACATTGACCAGCCTTGGCCAGTGGAGGGGACTTTGAACCCGGATGTGATCAAAACAATACAGGTACTTGTGTCTATATACAAGGTAAAGCAGAAGAAGGGGAAAAAAGGAAAAAGGCGTATGGAGAAAAGACAAACTGAGCTTGGAGTTCTGCAGTTGTTTGAAAATGAAGGACAGAAACTGTTAGAAGCTGCAAATGAAAAAAGAGGCCGCGGTATGCAAGAAATACAGAAAATGATAAGGCAGTGGGTAAGTTAATGGAGAAGGTTAACACACCCTTCTCACATACTGCCTTAGTAAAGAAGCCCCCGCCTTATGAGAAGGAAGTGAAGTTTACTGATGTTTACCCCAGCTCCCAGTGATTATACAGAAGGGCAACTATCACATCACAGACGAGGATGAACAAATAATCGAGAAGGGAAAGGCTACAACGACCATAGAAATGTACCCAAGCTCCGACAGCAAACACAAAAAGAGCCGTTTGAGAAGTTGGAGCGGTCAGCAGTTCAGACGACTGGACATAGAGGATGACAGTGAGAGTGATTCGGATGAAGCTGTTGGTGGATATGACCCAGCAGTAAGACGGATGTTGGCTAAAGCGGAGAAAAAAGGAGACAAGCCAATAAGAAGAGTGGATCCAGGAAAGGACGACACAGATGTGAGCAATGATGATGAAGACTCAGAGAGAGAAGGTTCTTCATATCTTACCCATTAGCAGCCGGTTCAGGAAGTAGAGAGATAAGTGAATGCTCAGTGAAGGAAATTGTCAGACCTGCTGGTCTGATGATCCAGGAGGCACATGGTTTAGCCCATGTTGCAAGGGGGAGTTAGGAGAAAGATTCACGAAAGAATATGGTTTTTGGGCACCGTACTTGCTTGAACAGATTGATTATGTCATAGGCAGGTGTACTATCTGTCTAAAAAACAACGTTCGTAGGGGTTGATGGTTCCTCCCGGTTACATTCCAACGCCAACAGGTCCTATGCGTGAGTTAGTTGTGGATTTTGTTGACATGATAAGACCGGTAGGAGGTAAAAGATACATGTTAGTTGTTGTGGATAGATTTTCAAGGTGGCCTGAGGCCTGTCCAACTAAGC